ATCGATAGTTATTAGATAAGTTGTATGTAAACTTATGAAATTATATTCAACCAATGAGAATAAATGAGTGTTGTATTTTTAAAATTTAAAAAAAATTATATCATTCAATTAAAGTATCCTAATTGTTAAGTTGGACAAAGTTTTATTTACTTTTCATTCAGTCTATTTACTTTGTGAAATATAAACACAATTGATCTATCATTTGATTTTAATAAATATCATATTAGTTACTAAGTAAATTTTAGGTAATCAGCTTTAAAAATAATTCCATGTTAGCTATTTGGCAATAATCAACATATGCTCACTAATCACTGACTTTAAAAGGTATATCCTGGAGGTCTAGTGAGAAGTAGTGACCAGTGGAGTTCAACCAGGTCTGTTGTGAGATAGTAACTCACTGAAGACAATCATGTATGTGTCGCTCAATTTCGTGGATTAGTTGAAGTTAGACATTAACACCGTTGGTTAAGTGCTTGCGCGCGAAACCAGTAGGTCCTGGGTTCGAATCCCGCAGGGGGCGAGGTCGTGGATACGCATCGCTAAAGAGTTCCACAATAGGACGAGACGGCCGTTCAGTGCCTCCAAGTTTCCCATGGTGGTCTAGCTTCAACTGACTCATGATTTTAATTATTAAAATTATTTGGAAATAGTTTATAGGATATTCGGAACCTTGGACTTCTTGTTATGTAACAACTGTCAATAAGGCATTAGTATTATCTTGACTGAGTTAATGTTGTTTTCAGGTTCAAATAGTCATTATGTACAGGATAGTTATTGATAGAATTAAGATGATCACATGAATTAGATCAATAGTGAGAAATAGGCAACACGATATTGTCTATCATTCAGTGATTGAAAATAAACTTCTTTGTAAACAGATATCCACTGGAAAAACAAATCATTAAAACTCAATAATCAACAAATATCTTATTTACTCTAGTGTTGTTTACCTAATATATTGGATAGAATCTAACAAAGAGTATTTAACTTTAGTGATGATTATTTAGCCACGAAATGATATTGTAGAAATCATAGGATTACTTATGGGATTCACTTTCATAGATAATGTTACGTAATATTTATTATAGATACCAAACCCACTTCATGCCATAAGATTGCAATAACTATAAAATTAATTTCATGTAATTAGTTCCCTTTATGAATTTGAATAAAGCCAGAGTGAACATAAATGCAGAACAACATTAATTCATTATATTTCACATTTTCCAAAGAAATTGAGACTGCGAGGGATGAGGGCTCTTAAAAGTGCAATAACTCGGCATTTACTTGACAAAGGGTATACTATTGTCATTCCTCAGGCTTTTAAAATTATTGGCAGATAAAGAAATACTGCTTCTCTTCGGTTTGTTGAAGCGATTGCGATAAAAAAAATGAAACCTGATTTATGTATTCAAAAACAGACAGTAATAAACCTATTACTACCCTGATAACCCAATTTTTTGTTATTAGTTTTATTTTGTTAATGTTTATTTTCAGTATAGTGTTGTGGAGATGATTCATCCACACACTGCTAAGAAGTCCCACAATAGGATGAAACGGCCATCCAGTGGTCTAACATCAATCAGTTCATGATCTCAATTACTAACTCGATAATCTCCACAGACCCTATACTGATAATTATCATGTGCTCACTAGTGGCTAGCTTCGTGAGGGAATTCTCGGGGTTTTCGTATGAAGCCATGATCAGTGGACCTAATCCATGTCAGTTAGAGACAGGTATCTACCTTACTACAATGGAAGATGGTCGCGCAATTTCGTGGATTGGTTGAGGTTAGGCATTAACACCGTTGGATGCCGGCCAGCTCAGTGGTCTAGAGGTTAAGCATTCACGTCTGAGACTGAAGGTCCTAGGCTTGAGTCCCGCGAGAGAGATCGTGGATTTTCATTTCAATTCTTTACATTCACTTATGTCAATTACTTCACGGGATATCTAATACATATTTGGTTGTAAGCAGCTGATGATAAACCACGAAATATAATGAATCCATATTATTCTACATCAATGTTAGTTCTTTACAAAATTAATATCTCAGTCTTGTGTGCTATTACGGGTATGAAGGCCGATGTCACTACCTGGCTGCCCACACCGTGAAAGGATAGTTCTTGAGGAACCTGAAAAGGAAGATGAATTAATGTTGGTCTTAACGAATTGGGAGCATGATCGCAGAGCCCAAGGAACAACTGCTTGAGACCGGTTGCGCACGGCAATTTTGTAGGAGACAGAAATTCGTAAGGTAAGATTAGGCGTGACATTTTTAGGGCTGACCTTTTATAACACCTTCCTTCCTTGTGATAAGGGAAACACCTTACTGCTGTCATACCCCTCTACAGTCTGCAGTACGACCTCGCCCTCAGACGTAGAGTTGCTGCTTTTAGACTTACCGTTCTCCAATCAACCTGTCTGGCATGGTAGAACCTACAGAAATATATGTTCCAGCCAATATAGTTCATTTGGGTTATCACGATAGGCAAGCCCAACCACCGCGTCAAGGTAGCAGCTACGGTCGAGTACATTATCTCATGATGTAAATATTAATTATTGCTTAAAAATAACAATGAAACAATTTACACTTAATCTAAAACACATTTACAGATTAAAAACTAAGAAAGTATATCTGAGACGTACAATTCATGTATTCTGATGTAGTTTACCATCTGTTTAAACTAAAATTTGGACATATATTACATTATTAAATAGATTGAAATACTCTTAACTTGTTATGATGTTTAGCCTTAATACACTAAGAAACTAGACCTAACTTCTTTTTTTTTTAAAGAACATGAATATTTCATTTAAAATATAGATGACGAACAAGTAAAAATGAAAGAAATCAAGCTAAAAGTAAAATCATGTGGTTTAAAATCAGAATAATAATAATAGTGAAATGAATGAAAAGAAGGAAGGTTACTGTTTAGTAAATTGTATATAGGATAATGGAACAATAGTTTGTATTGACTTCAATTAGACAATTGATAAAAATTAAGGAGAACTCGATTATAGAAAACTTTGACAGTGAACATCTAATACTCCCTTCAGAAATCAAACCCAGGAAATGCATATCACTTAGCGAGCACGCTAATATGTTAATTTGAAAAGGTACATATAATCTTCAGTATTCATTTAATATTTATCGGACTGTGAAAATTCAAGCAACTTTGTCAGGCTTTAACAATGGTATACTCATATATTAAAAGATCTAGTCTATGGTGATACCATCGATAAATTATTCGAGAAACAATTCTTTAATCCGTAAATCAGCGAGACTATGACTTATGTACGAGTTCACGGTGGCCTTGAGAAAACTCACTTACCTGCTAGTATATAATGAAGGTTATAAATTAGTGTGAGAAACTAGAATTTGAGTTCTAGATTTAGATGTTAGGGTTAAGAATGACAGTTAGAGTTTTTTTTTCCCATAAAGTGACATTACCTATAATGCTGAAATGTTATTTAGTCAAATGGATGAATGAATTTCGTGTCAAAATATAAGACCCGCTATCTTGAATCTGATTGCTTCTTCCATAATTTATAGTCTTGATAACAAATGAAAATCTAGTGGAAATAGTAAGCGTTAGACTAGTAACTGAATCCCCTATAATAAGTGTAATTAACCATAAAGTTGTTGAAATCAACAGACTAGTTTATTATTTAACTTACCTGGTAAGTTCATGAGTCGCTGATGATATGACTAATAAAGTTAATTAGATGATGTTTTGGTATTCAATATAACTTTTGAAGTTATTTAATTAGTATTGTTAATGTTTACTGTAAAGTTTAAGCTTCTATATTAAATTCAATCGTTTTATCATTAGTGGTTATCTTATAGCTAAAAGCAATACTAGATGAATGTGATAACATTATATTCGTCAAAGATTTAATACTGTCATCCACATATTTGGAATGCCTAATAAATATGCACTATACAAGATTTTTGGGAATTCTATTCTTTTAATAAATAACTGTAATATATAGGAACAATAACGGGGCGGCTTTGTATGCATATAACATACAATTCTCTTTGAACCTAACACATAACAATAGCATCATGCACTATCCCAACGCCCTTGGCAGATCAGGCAACCTGAAAGTTACGAGAACACCATCAGAGCATACGACAGACTAGGTACCCCTGTAATACATAAAAGTATATATTTTTTACTATAGACTTCATTTAAAGCCCTAAATCTCTTTGTATTTGTATTTTTCTCTCGGTATATTCGAATAAATTACACTAATGTGTTAATAGCAATAAGATGTAAATTAGTTCAAATGTCTAAAGTGAAACCACCAGTGAAAATTACACCCTTATTTGCACCAATCATTAAATAAGAGGGAGAATGTTCGAAAATTCTGGAAAATGAACGTTTGTTGAACACTGAGAAAAGGCGAGAGAAATTTAGGCCAATAAAGTACTCAGTAAGTATAGAGTTATAATGATCAAACAACAAAAAATGTTACTAGTTATACTATTTTCAATGTCTCCATCAGTAAAGATCATTTTGAAAATAATTTCGGTTGGTGTAATTATGTTAAATGCAAAACACATCTTGAATAGTATCTAACTGTAGTCAGTAATCATACGTACAATAGAAAACTACATCTTTCAAGAACTGCATAATCTTAACTTGAATACCGTGTTATAATTACTTTCATTAAAAAGCTTAAAAAATTCATTTCCCCAAAGATCAGTTGAACTTTTAATGAAATAATGAATGTAATTTAGTAACAGTACAACCGATTAATGAATCGAACTAGAGTGTCTCAGTCAGTCAATCAGACAGCTACTCAACTGTATTGGCTAGAAAAATTATAACCATTTAAATGTGATCCGTTCGATATCTTTTTTTAATGCACGGAACATCTTCCTTTTGATAGTCTATATAGTTTACTGATATTCCTTCCGCGTCAAATTCAACACAATTCTTTTATCTCGTTAAAATCACAACCAAAAATATATGAATCGATAATTTAGAGAATAAAAAAATGAATAGATTGGAATTTATTTTTACATTGTTTGAGATTTAATCGACAGTAATGCTTTGAAAGATTTGACGAAATAAACTGTTTAGATTATGAACTACTACTAATCAAAATATAAGTAGTTAAAAGAATATAATAGTTTTTTTGTAAAACTCCTGATGTGATATTAAAATAAAATTTTCGAAAAAGGAAATTTATATTGATTTACGGTTTTTTTTTAGATCACAGATTAGGTTGATGAATATGTTAGAGGGAAAATTAATCACAGCCTTTTGTTTGATAGATGTAAAAAGATAGGATTATCTCATTGTGCTAACAACGACCACGTTTTATGCTCCCACCAAAGCTAATAGTATTAAACGTAAATCACCGCTTGTTTCATCCTGAAAATAAAGGAAATTAAAAATTCTTTTTGATCATTGTTTCAGTAATGATAGAAAAATGTCTAGTTCGTTTTTCAAAAATCTATAAGGGTGTTTTAAGTCTAACACCGACAATAATTCCACTGTCTCAGTGACTGTGTTGGATCACAAGTCACGTGAATCCCTATTCTTTTAAACCTGACTTCAGAACATCAAATAACCAGATAGGTGATATGACGTACTTTCATTAGTTAAATTAATCCACTGACAGAATCCAATAAGTAGAACACAGGATTTTTATGTATCATTTATAATAATTTTCGACTATTATATATAAATGGGATATTTTTAATCCAGAGTTAAGTAACAGATTGTATGGTTAGTTGAATGTAATTGAAGAACAACATAAAATAGTAATAACACTGAATACATCGCAAAAAAATAGTTTAAAATAAAAGCTATGAACTAATTAATTAAAGAGTAGCTATCCAAGTTTACGGCTTTATTTTACCATTCATTTTAAATAGCCATACTCCATTTAAAACTGGAAATATGCTCATCAAAAAACTCGGAGAGTTTTATTTTTGATTACTAATAAGATTATGGGTACATAGTAATGTGAGGTTTCGAGTTAAAATAACAATAGTTTTATAGTGATGCATTTCTATGATCATAATGAACACTAATTAGGTAATTTCGTGGATTAGTTGAAGTTAGGCATTAATACCGTTGTATACCGGCCAGCTTAGTGGTCTAGAGATTAAGCGAACGCGCGCGAAACTGTTAGGTCCTGGGTTCGAATCTTGTAAGGCGGGATCGTGAATGTGCACTGTTGAGGAGTCCCATACTAGTAGGAAACGACTGTCCAGTGCTTCCACGTTTTTCATGGTGATCTAACTTAAACTGACTCTTTGAATTCAACCATAAAATTAAGTAATAGTCTAATAATGTTAGCACAGACCTTACAATTATAAAAGTGTACACCTCCAATATGTTTCTAAACATTAACATCTCAGTCTAAAAATATGAATATTTTAATAAAAGGAATTTCCTCACTAAAGATTTACTCATTTGAAACATGATTCTTTTCTTTTTATGGAACACAGATAGTAAAAATAATAATTAAAAGCTTCTGGTTTTGTATTTATCTCAGTAGTTTACAGATGATTTGCCTAACATTTTTTTATTGATTCAACTTCATTTCCTCAAAAACACTCATACTAACATCAACAACATTACATGAGATGTTTACACATTAGAGTACTGTTCGGGAGATCCAGAAAACTCCTCAAAAAAAGTCAAAAAAGGCTCTTAAAACACTGAGAAGCATCTTATCCAATCAACATTCACTGGAAGTTTTGCCAGAAACATCTAGAAAGTAAGAAGTCACATTGAATGATTACCCACACTGCTACTATGCTTAGTGGCGTTCCAGAACTTTCCGGAAACCCAAGGTTATCCGAAATAAAATCCCTAGATTTTCTGTACATAAACGAACTTTTGGAGTAAAGCATTTCTTCCATGCTTCGTAACTTTTCTCTCGTGTTCAAGTCGCTGCGTAGATTTAGCCTGGCGGTTACTAGAAGAGCTTAGGAACCGAATCTAGCGTCCACTTACAAAAATTATCAAGTACTCATAAATTAAGCTGTAACTCTATTTATACAAGACAAAATAATAACTGTTATAGTTATCTCTTATGGCATTATCCATAAGAACTATAATTAAGGAGTTGAAGGTAATCGGCCGTAAAATGTGAACTTAGGTCTCGCACTTGTTAACAATCGTCATCAAGGTTTCTTTTCAGTATCGGATATTCTCATCTTTACCATGCTATTTAAATAGACATCACCTTGTACAACAATCAGAAATGTCAACACCAAGATAAGATAGAATTGCGATCGAGTTCCCTTGGTAAGGAAATGTTTACATTAATTAGTTGTTGATCCCATTTAACCGATATTGCAAACTAACCTAGTAGAATCAGATTAGTACTGATAACTAGATAGCACGAGAATAATTTTTATTTGGTAACTGACTGTAGTTATTAAAAAACTTCTTGAAATTAGTAGCAATCTGCTAACAGTTTTCTAAACAACTAAATTTTTCATTTCTTTAGTGGTGCCAGTTAGATAGTATAACAATTGTTATCCAAATATGCATTCCGACTACCGTCGTATGTAATCACAGACTTAAATCGCGTTAGTAAATAACAGAATTAAGTCAAATACAAGAATGAGATTTGAATGCGTATATTTCGTACACTCATTGACTTGGACAGGCAATCAGGGAAACGAAGCAAAGGAATTGGCGAGCAAAGCGAAACGAAATGATGCACAGTGGAGAAGGAGGTTGAGGCAACTCAATTTAATCAAGTGTGATTCAATATATATAACAGTTAAATGCATGAGTTGATGTAAGCTAGACAACCATTAAAAACCTGGAAGCATTTGACTTTCCTATTGTCTCAGTATGAGACTACCCAGAATTGCATACCCACAATCCCGCACGCATGACTCGAACACAAAACCTTTAGTCTTTCTCGCGAACGCTTACCCTCAATGTTTATAGTCAAACCAGAAGTTACACACATACTGAAAAAGGTAAATAATTAGCACATGAACACTTAAATAAAAACAGTCAGGGCTAATAAGCGAATAATCGATCACATCAAGATATGGCTTGAGAAGAATGAATAAATTGATCTGTCCAGAAGCTAGAATAGCCTATGTGGGATTAACATAGTGTACCAGCCACTACAGTTTAAATTCTAAACATTGAAGAAAAACGTAGTTGAAATTAAAAAACACTTTATAATCAAACTAATATAATAAGCAAAGATAGATAGTGGCTAGCATTGGAATCCAGGACGCGAAATCCATCCTATCTGAGACTCATCAACCAGATATATCTGCACACCAGAGTTGATGTTAACCCCGAAACTCGAACCCAATACCGTCCGATTCAAACTTCACCGCTTTGCCCACTTAACTACTGAGTCCTGTTAGACACTCACTTGTGCGATTATAAGAAGATGCAAGAAAACAATACCAAGTGAATTTAAACTACTATCATATTGTTAAGTAAATGCAATCGGAATTTAAAAAACAAAACTGACAGAAATAGATAGTGGCTAGCAGTGGAATCCAGGAGGCGCGTTTCGTCCTATTTGAGACCCGTCAGCTGGATGTACCTGTATCCAAGAGTTGATGTTCAAGATACAAGTAAAACAACACCAAGTGAATTTAAAACTAGCAAACTTCACAAAAATATATTTATTACTTACATGTATATAAGATTCCAATGTTTTTCCAGTTAAACTCAAGAATTCTTTTTTAATTATACCTAAATCAACTTCACAACGTGATACAATAATACGTATAAGTGTTCTATTATCAGTTCCTAATCGTTTCATTGATTTTTCTAATTTCTCAGCAAAATATTTCGGTTTATTTTTAATGCAAGAAACTAGAATATAAAAATAAGAAGGAAAATAAGAAACGTTTTTGAATGATTCATTTAAATATACAATAGACTAAATTATTAATCTAGTTAAACAAAGATGAATAGTGGATAGCAATAAAATCCAGGACGCGCGTTTCATCAGCTGGATTTACCTGCATCCCAGAGTTGATGTTTACTTAAGGCTATATCGAGGCAATCCACACAGGATGCACATATGTCAATATGAGACTGACCAATTTCAGTTCTAAATAACAATGGGAAGATACAAGTAAAACAATACCAAGTGAATAATAATCTTGTTATTGAAACCTTATAATATAATATTCATGGTTAATGTCAATGAAAGGTAATTTGTCTATGCATATGAATAATAATTTATTCAATGATACTGTAGTTAGCAAGAACACGAATAGGGTACAATCGACTCATGATCTCAACTATTGAAATTACTACATTCTACACAAAACCCCTTCTGTTACAATCAAATGTATTTGAACATAAAATTACAGAACATCTTACTAAAATCTGAGAATCATGCAGTAAATACTCCATTTGCAAAATGTCAATCAATTATCTCAAACTTGACTGTTCCTTTTGCAAATATCAATCCATCGTCTAAGATTTCATTGTTCCTGCATTTTCATACCAATCGCTTTGCGGTCCCATTTTTTTCTTCTCCATCTTCTACTGAAATACATTCTATTTCTGGCTATCGTTATATACTAGTTATGTGAATATAGGTAGCTCACACCACAATACTATGTATCAAAGAATCTAAGTTATTATAAAGTCAGTCAGTCAGTAACAACGTGGAACTTCGTACGTACGTACATCAGTTCGAGTTGCCATACCACATTAGCACAGAGATTCAGTTATCGATTCAAATCCCATAGTGGCAGAGTAGTGAAAGTATAAGTAGAGATAGGGGACATTAAGGTTTGATGATGTTATTAAAGGAGTATGGTCCAGTGGAATAGATTTGGAAAGAAAATAAACGACATGAAGAATTCAGAAGATTAGAGTTTGAGAGAACACAAAGAGTGGATGCACCTGCGCCATTGCAAACGATTTTGACCCATGTCATTCAAGGTCTCTAACCATCGGTTGCTATCATCTCGCGGTCCCCAACCAGGTAGTCTACACCTACCAACATGACTCAGTCCACTTGTCAGTGACTTCATGGATTTGTGCCATGTTTTGGTCTGGCCGCCCCTAGCTTTCTTCCAACCTACTCCTACACCATAAAACATAGCACATCGGGGCAGTCGGTGATCTGGCATGCGCAACACATGTCCCAGCCATCTCAAATGATTGAGTTTCACTACTTCCTCAATTGATTTGCCATCCTTACCTAGTACCCGTTTCATAACAACTACATTACTTACTCGGTGGTCCCAGGATATACGAGCAATGTTTCGAAGACATCTATGGTCAAATACTAGTAACCTACGAATATCCTCTACTCTTACTGGCCATGTTTCACTGCCATAAAGTAGAACGGAACGAACTGCTGCGCAGTAAACTCGTCCTTTGGTTGATAGACGGATATCTCGCCTACGCCACAAATGACGCAAGTTGGCAAAAGCTAGTCGAGCCTTTTGTACCCATGCTGAGATTTCGTCACACACCAAACCACAAGGGCTGATGAGACTTCCGAGATAAGTGAAGCGGTCGACACGCTCAACTACTTCACTCCCTATCACTAGTTCGGGTGTCGAACATGCCTGCATTGTTGCTTAGAGTGGTCAGCAGACTCTGCATTTTGTCAGCGTCCTCACTAAATAGAACTATGTCATCGGCATACTCTAAGTCAATAAGTGAATTTCCCGGTAGAAGTTCAAGCCCTGGAAAGTCAGATTTGGAAAAAGTTATCTCTAAAAGCACGTCAATGACAAAGTTAAACAAGAATGGAGAGAGTAGACAGCCCTGACGAACACCACTTGAGGTAATCAGTTCTGATGACAGTTCACCATAAGCTCTCACTCGACCAGTTGTGTTCGAGTAGAGAGCCTTTATAAGGTTAATGTACTTCTTTGGTACTCCCTTCAGTGACAAACATTGCCATAGAACCTTACGATCAACAGAGTCAAATGCCGCCTTAAGGTCGACAAATACTACCATTGTGGGGCGTCTGAATGTGTGTCTATGTTCTAGGACCTGACGTAATGTGAATATTTGATCAATACAACCACGTCCAGGTCGAAAACCAGCCTGGTTTTCTCTAGTCTGCTCTTCACGAGCTTTGGTTAGACGTCGAAGTATTATTGAAGCTAATATTTTAGACACTATATTAGTCAAACTAATTCCTCTGTGATTGTCACAGGAGGACTTTTGTCCTTTCTTATAGACTGATACAATCAGTGATTGAGACCAGTCAGATGGGATTACGTCCAGTTCCCAGATTCTACCTAAGACCTCAGTCAATCTCGCTGCTAATACTGGACCGCCATCCTTAAAAATCTCAGGGGTAAACCTGTCAGGGCCTGCTGCTCTCCCACGCTTCAGATTTCCTATAGCTTTTTCAACTTCGTAAAGAGTCGGAGGACTTACATCAACTTGCCATTCAGGTCGACTGGGGATCGTGGGAAACCGAAGTGTGGCTGAAGGCCAGTTTAACTGATCCCTAAAGTATTCCGCCCATCGATCTAATCTCCTGGATTGAGAATGAATAATATGTCCATCTTTCTCTGCGATTGTTTCGCTAACAGTTGGGTTCCTAATACCGGTTTCCTTAACAAGTCTGAACAGTTGCCTGCTGTTACCTATTGCCGCTGCCTTTTCCATCTCTCTTGATTTCGCTACCCACCACTGTTCACGATCATTGCGTAGGCTTCTAGTCAGCTTACGCTTAAGCTGTCTCCGCTCTTCGTTATGTTCAGAGCCAGATGGAATGAGTTTTCGAGCATCTATCAGTGCGGTAGATGCTGCTGAGATCCAGTGTTTCTCCCTAACCTTATGGTTTACCGTACTTGCAGACATCACAGCTGTTTCTACAGCTTTTCGGATGTCATTCCACGCTGCCTCGGGATGGGCATCACTTACATGGCTGTCTAACTGTTTTTCTAGATGTTCCTGAAATATACTCTTAGCTTGACTATCATTTAGTAGGATCCTAAGGGGTTTCCTTGTACCACCTTTCCTACGTCCAGTAAGACGTAGACAAATACGCGCTCGCACTAGAGCATGATCTGAGTCTAAGCATGTGCTCCAGAATGAGCGACAGTCTTCTATCGAGCCCCTCCATCGGTGGCTGATGGAGATGTGATCTATTTGGGTCCAGCGTTGAGACGAATTAGGGGGTCGCCATGTTAAAAGATGTTTTTCCTTATGCTTAAAGTTAGTGTTTGCAAGAAACAGGCGGTTATCTGAGCATAGCTGCAACAGACGGTCGCCGTCATCTGTTCTTTGAACCGCGACACCATAAGATCCACCTAGGTGTCTTTCCCTTTCGCTTAGTTTACCTACTTGAGCATTAAAGTCACCAGCCACTATTACTACATCTGAACGCCTAGCTTTTCGGAGAAGGTCGGAAAGCTTTCTGTAAAACTCATCTTTTACATCATCTGAGCTGCAGTCAGTGGGAGAGTAGGCAGAGACGACGAAGAGGCAACGACGAGTGTCCCTATCTTTTCGAGTCCTTACTGTTCCGTTTAGTCGGACAGCACACAAACGACTGTCTACTGGGATCCAGTCTAAGAGAGCTAGTTCTGCCCTAGGACTCAATGCTATACCTACGCCAGCGAGGCCACGGGATGCAGCATCAGGGCTTCCAGATACACGAAGCGTAAATCCAGTTGGTTCGTTACTTTGACATGGTGCAGTCAAATGAATGACACTACTAGGATCCTGTGTGCGCGTTTCGGAGACGCAGCACACATCGATAGAGCGAGATTCTAAAGTCCTAGCTAAGGAATCCTGTTGTCCTATTTGGCACAGTGTTCGGACGTTGAAAGCTCCTATGTGTAGTTTGGAGCGTGGTTTCAGGAGACCATGAATAACATTCCGCGTACTCGAATCGTTCGCACTAGCGGGGCGAAGTGATAAAGGGACGTGAGAAGGGTTAGTCGTGGAGATAAGAGAGTTATTAGGAGGTGTAGGAAGGATTTGAATGTGACCAACTTGGTCTCGTGTGCTGTTACGGGTATGAGGGCTGATATCACTTCCCGGTTGCCCACACCGTGGAAGGGTATTTCGTGGGGGACCTGAAAAGGAAATCGGATTAGTGTTGGTCTTAGCGACCTGAGTGCGTGACCGCAGAGCACAAGGGACAACTGCTTGAGGCCGGTCGCGCACGGCCTTTTTGTGGGAGGTTTTTAATGTGTTAGCTCCGTTCTTCAAAGGGCCTTACCGCCGGAGACGGAAATCCGTGGGGTAAGGTGAGGTGTGACATTTTTAGGGTCAACCTTTTCTAACCCCTTCCTTCCTTGTGAGAAGGCAGCATCGCTGCAGATGCTAGTTGTCCGAGGGAAACACCTTACTGCTGTCACACCTCTGTACAGTCAGCAGTACGACTTCGCCCTCAGACCTTGAGTTGCTGCTTTTAGTCTTACCGTTCTCCAATCGACCTGCCTGGCATGGTAGAACCTGAAGGAACTTGAGTTCCAGCCAATATAGCTCGGTTGGGTCATCACGATAGGCAAGCCCGACCACCACGTCAAAGTAGCAGCTACGGTCGGGAAGTTATTATAAAACAGTTCTCCAAATAAAAACGAATCATATTTTAGAAATGTATAGAAATCAATAACAATTATCATCTGTGGGGTTTATTGGATGATATTTTCAAAACTATATTTTATAATTGAGTGGGGCCCTTCATTTTGATGTCAGCCGGATAGGTCAATGTTATCGATGAGTCTACCACTTTAGTGGCCAGATATCTGACTCTAATTAGATTGTATGAATGTTATTGAAATGCACATGTCAACTATTCTAATATATAATTATAATTTTGATGTTTGGTTATATTTCCTTGAAAAAGTTTGAACTGGTCGACTGGATTATCAAAACCCAGATATCTGAGGGAAAGCACGGAATACAATAAACAGCTTGAGTGCAACTAGACGATTTAGACTTCACAGATCACCTAGCCCTTCTATCCCATACCCATCCACCAATGCCGGTCAAAACAAACAGTAAAGCAGCAGTCTCTGCCTCAGCATACAAAAAAGAAAAAGCAAGATCCTTAAGTAAAACGGAGAACACCAACCGAATCACACTTGCTTGAGAAGCTTTGGAAGAGACGGAATCTTCCATGTACATGATGAGCATCATCGATGAACAAGGAGGATCTGATGCAAACGTAAATTCAAGGATTGGCAATGCAAAGATGGTATTCATACAACTGAAGAACATATGGAACTCAAAACAAATGTTAACCAATATCGAAGTCACAATCTTCAATACACACGTCTAAACAGTTCTACTGTACTGAGCTGAAACTTGGAGAACTACCACGACCATAATAAAAAATGTACAAATATTTCCAAATAATTGTCCACGCAAGATACTCAATGTCTGTAGACCGGATTACTTCAGAAACAGCCTAGTGTATGAGAGAACAAGGCAGATTCCAGCTGAATAATAAATTAGGAAAAGACGATGAAAGTGGAAAGGACACACGTTGAAGAAATTATTAAACCACATTACGAGGTAAGCGCTAACTTGGAATCCTGAATGAAAACGGAATAGAGGAAGACTAAAGAATACACTGCGTCGGAAATTGGAAGCGGACTTAAAAAAAATGATTAGCAGTTGGAAATGATTGCTCAGGATAAAGTTCGGTGGAGAATCGTGGTGAGAGACCTATGCTTCACCACGTGGAGGAACAGGTGTAAGTCAGTAAGTATAATGTGAACTCATTATTTCAATAAACTAAACTCAAACACTGAAACTATTTCATGCAATACACACCTATGATCAACTTTTATCCTCTGTGCTCAAATAGTTTTCGTAATTGATTAAAAATTTGTTTATTAAAAATAAGTTAAGGTTTATGAATGGCTATAATTATATATGGAAAGAAATTTAAGGGTTATAATGACTGACTGTGTATAGGTAACTCACATTAACAAATTAATTCATAAAATTATTCTTTTACATTATTCAACTATTAAGTATACCAGTATAGAGGTTGTAGCGATTATTAGGCTTTTGATTGAGATCGTGAACCGATTGATGTTTGACCACCATTGAACACCTGGAAGCAATGGACGGCCGTAACCAGTAGAATTAATCCGTGTCGAATAGAGACAGGTATCAACCTCAGTACAATGGAAGATGGTCGCGCAATTTCGTGGATTGGTTGAGGTTAGACATTAACACCATTAGATGTCGGCTCAGTGGTCCAGTATGTTAAGCGTTCGAGCGCGAGACTGAAGGCCGTGGGTTCGAATCCAACGAGTGGGCTCGTAGATGCATACTGCTGAGGAGTCCCACAACAAGACGAAACGGCCAGTGCTTTCGGGTGTTCAATGATGGTCTAACATCAATCGGTTCATGATCTCAAACAAAAAATATTATGTATACGCAATAGGAAACATTTGTAATACTAACCGATAGATAAAAATGCTCGAAGTGTATCACCATGCATTTCTGACTTTAAAGTATCTTCAATATTCTTTTTACCAATAGTTGAATATTCTTCGAATAATAAACGTAAATGAGCATAGGATCGTGAAATCAATATTTGAACAAACCTATAATGATGTGAATAAAATAAATTGATGGTTGTATTCAAATTGATTGATAAACATCTAGTTAAACTAACAAATTATTCTCTTATCAATTATTTAACAGAGAAAACATTCAAAAATTCGATTCACTTGTTGTTTTACTTGTATCTTCTCATTGTTACTTAGGACTGCGATTGATCGGTCTCATTTTGGCATCCCACTGCTAGCCACTATCCATCTTTGATTCAAAAATTAGGTTTAAATATAAGAGTAAATTGATAGATGTAATTTATACAATGATTCAGTCAGGTATATTTAACTTTTAAAACTATTTGAAATCTAAACAGAAACATGACAAAATAGTCTATTTTGTATTCTATTACTTAGTACAGTCCGTACAGAATGAATAGATGTCAACTGCAGTTTTAAACAACAATGGGATCATACAAGTAAACAATACCAAAGGAATTTAAACTTCGCCACATTGCAAAAGCAAGTAGTTGTCAGGACTCAGTAGCTGAGTGGATAACGCGATAGCGTTTCAAGCGAACGGTAATGGGTTCCAGTCTCAGAGTGAATGTCAACTCTGAGATGCAGTTACATCCAGCTGACGAGTCTCAAACAGGACTAAACGCGTGTCCTGGATCTCATTGCTAGCCACCATCCACTTTTGTTAAAAACAGAACGTGTATATATACATTTACCTGAATAGTATTGGCGAACTTTATATGGTATCGAACTTTGAATACCCATATGAATATAGTATTATAAATGGCAGCCTCAGTAACATATACTTAATTGTCGAACATTACATCAACTTACACTTCTAGAAAAGTCAAAACATAAGATCTAAACAAAAGGCGAAAACTTTAATGTAGTGGTTGGAATCATGTAAGTTTGTTAGTATTAATCACTATCCAACTCTGCTTAAAAAGTTCATGTGACATGATGGCAATATCGAGGCAATCTGCACATATACATATGCCAAAAGAGACTGATTAACTGCAGTCCATAACATCAGAGAGAGGATTCAAATAATAATTAAAAATGGGTCTTCATTCATCCTGTTGCACGAACTAATACATAATCAGACCCAGTAGCTAAGCGGATAACATATTGTTGTTCGGAGTAAGATGTACTAGGTTCGAGTCTCGAGAAGGATATAAATACTGATGTGCCGATATATCCACCTAACGAGTCTCAAGGAAGATGAGACGCGCTGGCCACTGCTGGCCACTATCTAACATTTCTCAAAAAACAATTATTGTTTGAGTTCCCCACATGCAACGAATAATTGGTTTTCTGGAAATGTATTTTACATAGTCGTAAATATGTTATGAACTATTCTCATTCAAGTACAGTACTTAAGATAGCCTTTAGATATTCGTTGTGTAACAATGATCCGGATCAACATTTAAATACGCCTTAACATCAGTTTGACATATCAATTCTTACTCAATTCACCATTATCAATTTATTCAGTGTAAATATTTGTACCCTAAGATATTACATAAAACTCCGCCTGGAGTCCCTTTCGGCGGGCTACTGCCGGTCCCAAGCCCGGATAAAGGAGGGTTGGGCATGGTGTTAGCGATCCCATCCCGTAGAAAACTAACTAACCAGAAAAAATTATTCAAACCATTTAAACTCTGCCCTCGGAGTCAGAAAGTCTTCGTTTAGAAGAGTTATGACGCCTCATGATAAAAGCCAAGTTCCTTCGAAAGTCACGAGGCCGATGCACCTTCTGACAACCACAGCAACCATTTATTTAGGTACATGGAATGCTCGTACAATGTGGGAGACTGGGAGAGTCTTCCAAATTGCTGCAGAAATGAGGAGATACAACCTAGAGGTGCTTGGGATCAGTGAAACACATTGGACGCAAGTTGGACAACAACGACTAGCTTCAGGGGAGCTGCTGTTATACTCCGGACATGAAGAAAATGACCCACATACACAAGGAGTTGCATTGATGCTGTCCAGACAAGCACAAAATGCACTTTTGGGATGGGAATCTCATGGACCAAGGATCACCAAAGTCTCCTTCACAAAAAAGAAAGAGGGCATTACAATGAATGTCATCAAATGTTACGCGCCTACCAACGACTACAATGAAGATGCTAAAGATCAATTCTACGATAGGCTGCAGTCGATTGTCGGGAAGTATCCAACAAACGACCTGACCACTCTGATGGGAGATTTAAATGCCAAGGTTGGAATTGACAACACCGGATATGAAGAGATCATGGGACAACACGGACTGAAAGATAGGAACGAAAATGGTGAGAGATTTGCAAATCTATGTGCCTTCAATAAACTGGTCATACGCGGCACTAAATTCCCACATAAACGCATGCACAAACCACATGGACTTCATCGGATCACACTACGCAGAACCAAATCGACCATATCTGCATCAACAAAAAGTTCAGGAGGACGATGGAGGACGTGAGAACCAAGAGAGGAGCTGATATAGCATCAGATCATCACTTGCTGGTCATCAAGATGAAATTGAAAATCAAGAGGCACTGGACAACTGGGAGGACAGTATCACGTAACTTTAATACCGCTCTTCTTCGGGATACTGACAAACTCAACAAATTCAAGATAGCGCTCAGCAATAAGTTCCAGGCCTTTCATGATCTACTCAATGGAGAAGGAACTACTATGGAGAGCAACTGGAAAGAGATAAAAGAGGCAATCACTTCAACATGTCATGAGGTTCTGGGCCAAAAGAAGCACCACCACAAGGATTGGATCACGGTTGATACACTGGATAAGATTCAAGAAAGGAGGAACAAGAAGGCAGCAATCAATACCAGTCGAACAAGAGCAGAAAAAGCCAAGGCACAGGCTGAATACACAGAAGTAAACAAGCAAGTGAAGAGGAGCATCAGAACTGACAAACGTAAATATGTGGAAGATTTAGTAATGACGGCGGAAAAGGCTGCCAGAGAAGGAAACATGAGACAACTGTATGACACAACAAGGAAACTCTCTGGAAATCACCGTAAACCAGAACGATCAGTGAAAAACAAGGAAGGCAAAGTAATCACCAACATTGAAGAACAACGAAACAGGTGTGTAGAACACTTCAAAGAACTCTTAAATCGACCAGCCCCACTGAACGCACCCAACATCGAAGCAGTACTCACGGACCTCCCAACATTTGAAGGGATCAGCATGGCTATCAGATAAATCAAGTGTGACAGAGCAGCAGAACCAGACAGCATTCCAGCAGAGGCACTGAAAGTAGACGTAGCGGTAACTGCAAAGATACTCCACATTTTCTTCAGAAAGATTTGGGATGAGGATCAGGTACCAAAAGACTGGAAAGAAGGACTTCTGGTTAAAATACAAAAGAAAGGCGATCTCAGCAACTGTGACAACTACAGGGGAATCACTCTTCTTTCAATACCAGGAAAAGTCTTCGACAGGGTATTGTCAAACAGGATGAAGGACTCCGTAGACGCCCAACTTTGAGACCAACAGGCAGGATTCCGTAAAGATAGATCGTGTACAGACCGAATCGCAACTCTACGGATCATTATGGAAAAATCAATTGAATGGAGTTCATCACTCTTCATCATATTCATTGACTACGAAAAAGCATTTGACAGCGTGGACAGAACAACACTATGGAAGCTTCTTCGACACTACGGCGTGCCTCAGAAGATAGTCAATATCATACAGAATTCCTATGATGGATTAAACTGCGAAATCCTGCATGGAGGACAGTTGACAAAGTCGTTCGAAGTAAAGACCGGTGTCAGGCAAGGTTGTTTACTGTCACCCTTTCTCTTTCTCCTGGTGATCGACTGGATCATGAAGACATCAACATCTGAAGGGAAGCACGGGATACAGTGGATAGCTAGGATGCAATTGGATGATCTAGACTTTGCAGATGATCTGGCTCTTCTATCGCACACACAACAACAAATGCAGGAGAAGATGACCAGTGTAGCAGCACCCTCAGCAGCAATAGGTCTCAATATACACAAAGGGAAAAGCAAGATTCTCCGATACAACACAGCATGCAACAATCCAATCACAATTGACGGAGAAGATTTGGAAGATGTAAAAGCCTTTACATATTTGGGCAGCATCATCGATGAACACAGTGGATCTGATGCAGATGTGAAGGCACAGATTGGCAAAGCAAGAGCAGCATATTTACAACTGAAGAATATCTGGAACTCAAAACAATTGGCAACCAACACCAAAGTCAGAATTTTCAATACAAATGTGAAGACAGTTCTACTGTATGTGGCGAAAACCTGGAAAACTACGAAATCCATCATCCAAAAGATACAGGTGTTTATTAACATTTGTCTACGTAAAATACTTCGGATCTGTTGGCCGGACACGACCAGCAACAACCTACTGTGGGAGAGAACAAATCAGATCCCAGTGGAGAAAGAAATCAGGAAGAAGCGCTGGAAGTGGATAGGACACACATTGAGGAAAGCACCGAACTTCGTCACAAGGCAAGCCCTCACATGCAATCCTCAAGGTCGAAGGAGGAGAGGAAGACCAAAGAACACATTACGCCGAGAAATGGAGATAGATATGAGAAAAATGAACAAGAATTGGATGGAACTAGAAAAGAAGGCCCAGGACAGAGTGGGTTGGAGAATGCTGGTCAGCGGTCTATGCTCCATTGGGAGTAACAGGCGTAAGTAAGTAAGTAAGATATTATATAAAATCTCAACATAAATGTTTGTAAACCATTGGTCATTATTCGTCTGAATTGGTAACTTAGTTCATACTGACCAGTCTGTGGTCATTCAAGAACATGAACAGGTGCTAGGCTATGACATGACGTCCCGTGACATCCAACTCAGATACACATACTTCCTGTACGTTCACATAACCAGCTATCCGATTGAAGAGACTGCAAAATAACTGGAAAGCTGTAGTTTGCGAAATCGAATTATTAGGTTCACAAATATATGCTTCTGATCTAATCAAGGAAATATAGGCTTAGAATTTGTCAACAAATATAACCGAATTTCCCAAGTAGCGTATTTTATGATTCCTCACCGATTCCTTAATCTTGAGATGATATAATTGCACAAGTACGTAATATGCCTAGACTCACCCAGACCGTCAAATTATTCTACAGAATTACTGATAGAGGATACATAAGTCCCTACAATTATTGACTATTTAATCTAAGTCACTTAATTTTACTACAATACACATCAACCGACTTAGAAAATTGCTTATTTTATCAAAAACAAAACTAAAGAAAACAATTTACCTTGATTCATCTGTCCCTAATTTTTGTTCACCTGCTCTATATAAATTTTCTGCATCTTTTCGAACAAGTTCCATATCTACTTTTAATGATTCATCTCTATCACCTTGTAATAGAGCAACACATACACGTTTGAAATGACGTGATGTATCACTTTTAACATCATTCTCTAAATCACGATTAGGGAATACTGATGAAGAAATTAAAATTCAATAAAAACAAAAATTAAAAAAATATTTAGGAACCAATGACTTTCTAATATTAAAGAAATTTGATTGATATTTTACTAAGAAGGCTAAAATTAACTTTGATTTGAGATCACATTTTTTAGATAGTTCCATTTAGTAAAGTTTCAGTGTCTAACGTACACTATCAGTAGTATATAGCTAACATAGATTATATATATATATATATATATATATATATATATATATATATATATATATATATATATATATATATATATATATATAGCATGCTATTTGATCTTCCGTGTTAATTAAATACTGTTCTTGATGACTTTAGATAACTATCGATCATAATCAAGCGACATTTTATCAGTGAAGGAAGAAGTTACTAATATCAGCATTGTAGAATAAATGGAATACAATTGACCACTTGTTATATCCCAATGAGAATTATGAATGGTAACTCCTGAGAACTATATATATATATATATATAACTCCGCCTGTAGCTCTTCCAGAGTTACTGCCGGTCCCAAGCCCGGGTAAAGGAGGAGGGTTGGGCATGGGGTTAGCGTCCCCATCCCGTAGAAACCTAACTCGCTAAAAAAACGCTAACCAGAAAAAATAACTCAAACCATTTAAACCCTGCCCTGGGAGTTAGAGGTAATATGACGCTTCATGGTGAAAGCCGAGTTCCTTCGGAAGCCACGAGGCCGATGCCCCTTCTAACAACCAGAGCAACAATTTTTATAGGTACATGGAACGTCCGGACAATGTGGGAGACCGGGAAGACCAGTCAAATAGCAACGGAAATGAGGAGATACAACTAGGCAGTACTGGGAATCAGTGAAAGCCATTGGACCCAAGCTGGACAACAAAGGCTAAATACGGGAGAGATGCTGCTATACTCCGGTCACGAACAGGAAAATGCTCCACACACTCAGGGAATTGCTCTAATGCTATCCAAAGTAGCACGAAATGCACTTGTAGGATGGGAATCTCACGGATCCAGAATCATCAAAGCATCATTCAAAACAAAGAAGGAGGGTATCACAATGAACATTATCCAATGTTATGCACCTACCAATGATAGCAACGACGACGTTAAGGATCAATTCTATGAGAGGCTGCAATCAATCATAGAGAAGTGCCCAAGAAAGGACCTCACCATTCTGATGGGAGATCTAAACGCCAAAGTCGGAATGGACAACACCGGATATGAAGACATCATGGGACTGCATGGACTGGGAGAGAGAAACGAGAACGGGGAAAGATTTGCAAATCTGTGTGCATTCAATAAATTGGTCATAGGCGGTACAACATTTCCACACAAACGTATACACAAAGCTACGTGGATCTCACCGGACCACACCACAGAGAACCAAATAGATCACATTTGCATCAATAAAAAGTTCCGAAGGACAATGGAAGATGTGAAAACCAGGAGAGGAGCGGACATAGCTTCAGATCATTACCTAGTTGTGGCCAAATTGAAACTGAAGCTAAAGAAGAACTGGACAACTGGACAAACGGCACTACAAAGGTTCAATACAGCCTTCCTTCGAGATACTGACAAACTCAATGAATTCAAGATAGCTCTCAACAACAGGTCCCAAGCCTTACAGGATCTACTGAAGGAAGAAGAAACTACTATGGAGGATAGCTGGAAAGGTATCAAAGAAACATTAACTTCAACGTGTCAAGAGGTTCTGGGCCCCAAGAAACATCATCACAAGGAATGGATCTCTATAGAAACACTGGACAGGATCAAAGAAAGGAAGAACAAGAAGACAGCAATTAACAACAGCCGAACACGAGCAGAGAAAGTCCAAGCACAAGCAGAGTACATGGAAGTAAACAAGCAAATGAAGAGGAGCATTAGAGCCGACAAGCAGAAATACGTGGAAGAACTAGCAACGATGACAGAAAAAGCTGCAAGAGAAGGAAGTATGAAACAGTTTTACGATACAACGAAGAAACTAGCATGGAAATATAGTAAACCAGAGAGACCGGTTAAGGAGAAAGAAAGCAGGCCAATCACTGAAATTCAAGAACAGATGAACAGATGGGCAGAGTTTTTCGAGGAACTCCTGAATAAGCTGGCCCCAATGAATCCACCGGACATAGAAGCAGCACACACAGATCTTCCTATAAATGTCAATCCACCAACGACAGAAGAAATCAGAATGGCCGTCAGACAAATCAAGAGCGGGAAAGCAGCAGGACCTGACAATATACCAGCTGAAGCGTTGGAGTCAGACATCGAAGTAACTACAAGCATGCTTCATCTTCTATTCAAGAAGATTTGGGAGGAGGAACAAGTGCCGATGGATTGGAAAGAAGGACACCTCATCAAGATTCCAAAGAAAGGAGATCTGAGCAAGTGTGAAAACTACAGAGGCATTACACTACTGTCAATGCCGGGTAAAGTCTTCAACAGAGTGTTACTGAACAGGATGAAAGACGCAGTTGACGCTCAACTTCGAGATCAACAAGCTGGATTCCGTAAGGACCGGTCGTGCACAGACCAGATTGCGACACTACGGATCATCGTCGAACAATCAATTGAGTGAAACTCGTCACTCTACATCAACTTCATTGATTATGAGAAGGCATTTGACAGTGTAGATAGGAGGACGTTATGGAAACTTCTTCGACACTACGGAGTTCCTGAGAAGATTGTCAACATTATCCGGAACTCATACGACGGACTACAGTGCAAAGTAGTGTATGGAGGACAACTGACAGACGCATTCCAAGTAAGGACCGGAGTAAGACAAGGCTGTCTACTCTCTCCCTTCCTGTTTCTTCTGGTGGTCGACTGGATTATGAAGACCTCGACATCTGAGAGAAACTACGGCATACGATGGACAGCTCAGAACCAATTAGACGACTTGGACTTCGCAGATGACCTAGCCCTCCTATCACATACACACGAACAAATGCAGATAAAGACAGCCAGCATAGCAGCAGTCTCTGCATCAGTAGGCCTCAACATACACAAAGGGAAAACCAAGGTCCTCAAACACAACACGGAGAACAGCAATCCAATCACTCTTGATGGCGAAACTCTGGAAGACGTGGAATCCTTCACATACCTGGGAAGCATCGTCGATAAAAAAGGAGGTTCAGATGCAGACGTCAAGGCGAGGATTGGCAAAGCTAGAGCGGCATTCCTTCAACTGAAGAACATATGGAACTCAAAACAACTTTCAACCAATATCAAAGTCAGAATCTTCAATACGAACGTCAAGGCAGTTCTACTGTACGGAGCTGAAACTTGGAGAACTACAACAACCACCATCAAGAAGGTACAGGTATTTATTAATAGCTGTCTACGCATGATACTCAACATCCATTGGCCGGATACCATCAGCAACAGCCTTTTGTGGGAGAGAACCAACCAGCTTCCAGCTGAAGAGGAAATTAGGAAAAGACGATGGAAATGGATATGACATACATTGAGGAAATCATCAAACTGCATTACGAGACAAGCGCTAACTTGGAATCCTGAAGGGAAGCGGAAAAGAGGAAGGCCAAAGAACACATTACGTCGGGAAATAGAAACAGATATGAAAAAGATGAATAAGAACTGGAAAGAGCTTGAAAGGATTGCCCAGGACAGGGTTGGATGGAGAATGCTGGTGAGCGGCCTATGCTCCTTCACGAGGAGTAACAGGCGTAAGTAAGTAAGTAAGTAAGTAATATATATATATATATATTACTACATAATTATTAGGTAGCTAAACTATGCGTATTCATGTTCCTCTTAATAAAAGCTTTATTTTAAAGCATTGACTATTATTATAGGATTTACCGTCCTTGAGTTATGCCCAGTCTATTAATTACAGTCTCCCACATTCACAGGGCCACAAGTTATACCATCACTTTGATGGCTAATGATTATACTTGCTTCAATATCACGATGAGTTAGTCAAAAGATGTATGACTCATCATTAACATCTCTGAATACTAAATTATGCAAAAAAGATAAATGGCTACTAGGATGCCTTAATTTCTTTCACGTTGTAGATAACCATTATTTGTAAAAATCAACAGGTAATTCGAAGGCCTCTTACAGATTTTTCTCAACAATCAAACAATAAATTTTAAAAAATTTCCTGAATACTTGATAGATCTTAGAGGTTAGTTTGGTTTGAAAGTGGTATTTTTTATGACAGATTAAAATCAACTAAAACAGTTATCGGCACACGATATGGAAGATTGATTATAAATATGGGGTTGCGGAGATTGTTAAGTCCTTGATTGTGGTCATGAATCGACCAATGTTAGACCATTACTGAAAATCTGGAAGCACTGGACCACCGCTTCCAGGTTTTCAGTGGTGGTCTAACATCGGTTGATTCATGATCTCAATCAAAAATTGATCATATTTGAAAATGTGAACCACTTCATCACAATCATATAGTTCAAAAATAACACTCTCATTATGAGGCCTGAAGTTATTGCGTTCAAACATGGGTGGATGTGAACTCTTAAGGGATTATATATTAGAATAACATGTCAATACAGTACTTCTTAGTGACGAAAGCCATTTTCTAAATCATACTATAGTCAACGAGAACACAAGTGGGGATAATTGGATGTATTTGAATACAAAATTATAGAACATCTCACTAAAATCTGAGAATCATACAGTAAATACTTCATTTGCAAAATGTCAATCAATCATCTCAGACTTCATTATTCTTTCGATCCTACATCAATCAATCTCTATTCTCGTTCTCTTTTCTTTGATCTTCTTAACCTTCTGCCGCCAGACATTTCACTTTCGATTGATGATACATATTACTTATATCTGTCGACATCAGTAGCACACACCATAATACAAATAAACATTTATGTCTTTAACACTGTTTCATCACAATAATATTAATACAATTCAAGAGTGTTTAAACGTTTAAAAGGAAATTATAACAGGTATTTCCATCTTGTGTAGAACACAAGTTATTGATGTTAATTTTCTTTACTATAATGCCTAAAATACCAAGGATTTAATAAAGGGAAGTTAATTTGATCGTTTTAAAAATGGTTATTAACTTGATAACAGTTTAATGGACCACAAAGCAGTTCATGATATTATGCTGAGGAGTCCCAAAATAGGACGAAACGAACGTCCAGCGCTTCCAGGTTTTTCATGGTGGTTTAGCTTCAATTGATTCATGATCTCAACTATTGATAAATTAAACTCTGAGAATGAATGAAAGTTATTATGAATAAAAAATATGAAATTATATATAAATCACTTACTTTTAGAATAAGTCTCTTTAATTTGCTTAATTTGTGCATTTGTTCTAGAGCATAAAATTTCAATTAAAGCATCTTCATCTGTACCAGCTCCTTTCACTGATCTACGCACTTCACGTGCATCAAATTCAACTGGTGAATAACATAAAGCTTCCATACAATCATAAAAACTTCCACTTAATTCTGACTTAAATTTCGAGGTTAAATCTTTACCATACGTTGATTTATATTTTTGTGTTATAATAACTCTTTGTTCAGAAGATCGATGACCCATCACTTCAATTAATGATTTTTCATTAGTTCCCATTCCAGCCATAGCTTGATGTAGTTGTTCACAATCTTTATCAACATCAAAATTAGCTGACGGTTTTAAAGTTGGTTCAAGCTAATCAAATGAAAAGATATAAATCCATATTGAATAAAGAACAAATTGTTATTTAAACATGTAAACATTTCATTATCAGACATTACAACTGAGAAAAACGCTACATTGGACAAAGCGGACTCCCTCTTCATCTTTGCCTGCATCATCATCAATTATCAGGCAAACGCTATGACATGTCCTCACTTATATCAATGCACGTGGACAGCTGCGGACACATTCGACTGGAAAAATATGAAAATTTTGGATAAAGGAAATTCAAAAAACACCAGAGTATTTTTAGAAGTTTGGCACTCAGGTCAATCAGCAATCAACAAACACATTGAAATGGATCCATTTTATCAACAGATGGGAGATACAACCAAAACAAAGAAGTAAACAAGGACAGGTTTAAGGTCAACAAGAACCAATCAACATCGAGGTGCACAGGACAAGTTATGAACCACATGTGGAGAAAATCGAAATATTCACTTCTACCTGAAGTTTGTGCTGATGATGTCGTTCAGAAGAACGATTATAGCTTCACGAGCAAACCATCCAGCTTAGAGAACAAAAATCCATCAAAACCATCCACCTGAGCTACAAATCTTCTCCACCATCTCAGACATTACAAAATCATGTAGATTAACCCATTAAAACAATTGAAAAGAAAATACAGCAATTAAGAAATGATCGAATAACCGCTGAATCAACTATGTTGAATTAGACAAGAACCCGACTCCTATTTATGTAGACCTAAGGATTAAATTAAATAAAAATTAAAGCTTGAAACCAAATATAATTCCACTTATATGGGAACTATATTACCGATAATTTTCTAATGTTCTTATTGTTGTAAACATTTCAAAACGAACATTTTATTTAACTGAAGATCCTTTTTTTGTTATCTTCTATGTTTTTATTCCTGTAAAAATCATTTCCTTTGCTATATACTACTTTTCATTACAACATGAGTCTATTACCTTGACAAAACGTAAAGCTTGTTTAGATAATGTTTTGACCAATAATAACTTGTAATTAGCAATATGTAATGATCTTAAATACACAAATAATGAATAGCTGGATGATAGGGGTCAGTAGTTGTGAAATAATGCGAAATGATTAGAATTAGGAGTATGATCCACGCTCTCTGTAATGATTGACAGTTCTAGGAACAATCTCCGATGACGATGTATCATAACAACCATTGATGTTCAAGAAGTAAACTATTGTTAATCGGTAAGTAAAAATATTTCGTGAGAATAGTATATATGTCAATAAAAACTGTTGTTAAACTGAATAAATATTTTCTCAAAGAACCTTTATTTTTAAAAAAATAGTCATATTCTTACTAGTGACTAATTTTTAAAAACATTACCCAAAGCTTTGATGAGAATCTGTGGTCTGTGGGATTTATGACGTTGAGACCGAAACGGTTAGTGTCGATAACACGAATTAATTATCATGCTATCTCAAAAATTGGATGAAGTTGAATTTGTAGACCATTGAATTATAACGCAGTGGTTTATTGGTACCTTGTTTAATGTGAAACTTAAATGTCTTATTTTTGCACCCTTTGAATGTTTATAAATTTATACTGTCGAAGTATTTCAAATAAGAACAACATGGATGTATGAAGTTCCCTAATTTTTCATAACTTTCCAGCCAATAACACTCCTTGATGAAATTTACCTTTGAAATATATGAATTAATACATTAAATTTAACAAAACTTACTGGGTATTCTTCTACATCACGGTACTGATCATGTGTAGATATATCAACAGAACCCGACTTAGTATCTTCAGTATTATCATCTTTTTGACCTGTCTACATGATTAAAAAAGATTCACAAACAAAAACAACATTCTTTTGGTTTAATTTATGGTCTAGATAAGAAAAGTTCTTGAAAATGCTTAATGAAAACTTCTTACATGATTGGATTAAAATTTATCAATAGAAAAACTGACTTATAACTGGAGAATTTTCATTCCAGGAAGTCGTAGTAATTACCTCCCATAACTCGGATGCTTCACTAATTATAAACTCTTTACCACAGTTACTCTATTTTTAGACTGTTAATACACTACGTGATTTCGATTTCTTTAGATCTCTAACCAGAACACTTTAAATCAAGATGATTGGTCATAAATTCCATATCAATTTCATTGATGACTTCTGCAATTATACTCAATCAAAGAGAACAATTATGCAATGATGATATTTTTAGTACAAAACGGATTAGGAAACACTGGAAAAGCCTCCTTTGTTTTAGGCAGTTTTGTGGGGTTTGCAAATTTTTCGCAGTTTAAATTGTGAACTGATCTTAGCCAGACCACTACTGACTGCCAGGAAGCATTAGACAGTTAGGGACTGGGGTCATGGATGCGAACTGCTGAAGAGTCCCATGCTATGACGACATATCTGTTCAATATCCCCTGGTTCTTAATGGCTGTCTAGATAAGAGCAGCACATGGTTTAAACAATGGAAGTTACCTGTATTCATCGCTGAATACTTTTGCTATTCTTGAATTGTTAAACCCAGCAACCGTATGAATGCCCATTTTTATCCGAATTTATGTATTTAAAATCAAACTACTACTAAAAAAATTCTTTCATCACAAAGTTTTATTCCACGTCAGCATTTTAATTTTGCTGGTGCATCGAGGTAATTTTCATGCATTACATTTTATAACATAACCAACAGGACACATTTTGTTTAATGTGGAGTTCTGATTCAGTGAAAAAAAACCTTATAGTCGATACAGCGTACACTTTCATACAATATGAAGAATTCGGTTAGGGGAAATTTGGCCTCAGTTTTCATTTATGAGCATTTAGGAAGTATCGATAATGCGTATAACAATTTCTAGTCAACCTTCTTTGATTTGAGATATTACTTATAAATAATTTGTTTGTTAATGTATTTTATTATCACATGCTTATCACGTTTTTGTGGTAGTTTCCAGTTCCCACTTCACTTCTCACATAAAATTGGCTTGCTGACGTATTCTTGTAACCTGACGATAGTTTGACTTGATACATTAATAGGTTATGGTTAGCTATCCGGTAAACTATTCTGTATTGTTATCTAAGCTTCTTAAATTTAACTCGCATACATTTTTTTCTGTTGAAATAATATTTTCCACATCCATTAGTTGGTTTTTAACAAACCAAAATGTTGTTATCAACCAATCATACTATCTCAAAAATCTCTCAAGTTATGCAGTCTGTCTAATAAACGGCTATCATCAAAACTTTATTGTACAAATTTTCACTTTCTCATTTACTATTTTTCGAAGTTTCACTGAAAGTCTTCGATAATTAGGTTACTCAGACACTCTGTCGTTTATTTTTCAGATTTTGATAAGGTGTGGACAACTTTGACACAGTTTTCGTATATCACCCCTGATATTTTGCTAAGATTGTGTGAATGGAGGTCATTACCAAATTCGGTTCATTAGAAATTATTAGTACAGTGAATTAGAGATTTTAGGGTATAGAAGACATACAAACATTCAGAGTTGTCTTAGAAACAGAAGAACAACAGTCTACCTGTGGTTCGAATCACCATCTTTTCAGTTTTTTCAGCCCCATCCCGAAATCGAACTCTTGATTCATCTGGAAAATAACTCTGACTTAGCTCTCTAACTAGTAGCCACAATAACTAAATTCGTTGAACACATGATGAACAAATATTTTTAAACAATTTTTCACATTATGTGTTTTCAATGTCTTCTATTATTTTATCTTCATATTTATTTTCCGAAAATATTTACGTCTAAACAATCTAATAATATTGATTTACAAATAAATAACTAACCTTTTCAGGTGAATAAGGAATATTTTCTTTGTTAAAGGAACTTGGTCTGTTAGGCGTTGGTGTTTTCGGCGGTCTCATTGATTTATTTTGATTTGATTTTCTTCCTGAATCTTGAGAATCTCTATGGGGTTTTGTAGCTTTAATTGGTTTATCAAGATGGATTGTTAATAAGTAGCTATTTTCATTTTCATCGAAATCTGCAGAGATTACCTGAAAGGTGTGAGAGAATAAAAATAAAAGATGACATGATATGTGTCATTTATGAGAGACTTTATTACATACAGTTTCCGAAAATGTATGAGAATGGTTAGCAAATAATTAATTTGTTTAGAAACTCAAATTATAATGGACAATGGATTATTGATATTCAGCCAACCCAGGATAATCAATAAAAAAAGGCAGGATAGGATAATCACTTAAGTCAGACAAAGTAAAATAGATAACTTCAAAATACAAAAAATCAATAGGACACCAAACCATAATCAAGATGAACATATAAAGAGAGGTATTAAGAGCAGTGAATGCGATGGAAATATCGGATTGAGGCTAGTAGTAAGAAAAATGAAAGCTCAAAATTTACGAAGTAAAATCTCATCAGTTTAGGTAAACAATGAAGGTTTATAAGTGGGAGGCTTGTGAAGATTATTGACGTTTGTAGTTTGCATCAAGAATCGACCTTAGTTAAACAATCGCTGTAACTCGCGAATCCCTGTACTAATAATAATCATATTTTTACTAGTGATTAATTTTTTGGGGTAATCCTCGAAGGTTCAACGAGAAACCCTGGTTATTGGAGTTCAATAATATCGGTAGTAGGACACTTACTCATCAATAGCATTAGATGATGGTTGAAAGAAGTTAAAAACATAAAACATTAGACATTGACTCGATGACCTGAAGGTTTAGTGGTCACTGAGAGGCATAAATATCCTGGGTTCAATTTTTACCAGTGTCGTGTATGTGTACTACTGAGTAGTTCCATAGTAAGATGAAATAGCTGCCTAGTACTTCCTGGCTTTCAGTCGGTCCATGATGTAAAACTACAAAACAACTAAATGATCATTACTTTAGTTATTAATTGAACATAATATTTAATCATCTTTAGACTGTGATATAGTAAGACGAATGCTCCAAAAGTGCAAATTTGCGGTTAACCTTAGATTTTCATCGTATAACTATTTAAAACTTGGATTATTGTACTCTTATTCGCCCTAGTTGTAAAATTCTAATTTGATGTATAAACTGTTGTTCTGAGTTATTGGTAATTAATTAATTCACTTGTGATTATTCCCATATTACAATTTCTTATTTATGTTGGTGTGCAGTCTGTAAACTTTTATCTATTATCGCATGACCATTATCTTCAGTGAGTTACTATCTCACAACAGACCTAGTTCAACTCCACTGGTCACGGCTTCTCACTAGAACTCCAGGAAATACCTATTGAAACCAGTCGCAAGTGAACACATGATGATTATTATCAAAATGGGGTGAATGCGCACTGCTGAGAAGTCCCATACTAGGACGAAACGGACGTCCAGTGCTTCCAGGTTTTCCATGGTGATCTAGTTTTAATCGACTCATGAACTCAACTATTAAATTATTATCACATTATTTTAAGTTATGGGTTGAACTGTGTTATAGTTTCTCTTATTTCAACCCAGTTACATTTACTGCTTAGCAATCTTGGACAAGTCCCCAAATCAGAACACGGTTAAACAGAAATGTAATTATATTCCAAATAAAAAGGATGGATTGAAGTAGGAATCACAATAGAAGAAACATTAGCATATTTATAATTCTTACGTGAGAAAACTCTAGAGTCTTCTCCAAGTATTTACTAGCTCTGATTGGATAAGAAGTAATCAATCAAAGTGCTCCAACATAATTCCGCACGGAACATACTTTAATTCAATTTATATCCAGCTAACAGACTGTATAGTCAAGTTATCAATAAACTCAAACTATTGATCTCTTGGTTGACTTACTGTCATTGATCTCTTGATCAACAGAACATCATTGAAGTACTGGCTACTAAGGATCATTAGCCCTATACAGGTACGTTAGAGTAATTACTTGATCTATAGATTATGTAACCACTTATAAAATTATAGCTCGTTCACAAGGGCCTTAATATAATACAAGAATCTTGTTTTAACCCATGACATCAAAATGTATATCTAGTAATACGAACTTATAGTGATTATCTTTTCAATATAATAATATAATAATATAATGAATTCAACAACTTACATTACCCATTTTAGCTTGTGATAAAGTTCCTGCAAAAACCTTATCTCGTTTTATGTATTCAATTAAATTATATTTTACATGTTCAATTTGTTCATTTATATTACCCATTCCTTGACTTATCGTTGATAATGATTGATTTATAGAATTAACAGAATCATTTTGTTTTGGTGTAAATTTCTCTGTTACTTGTTTCATAAGTTCACGAACTTCTGTCACAGTCATATGACGTGTTTGATCAATACACTAGAGAAATGAATTAAGTAAACTGGAGATTAATATTTCATGTTGACTAAAATATATTATGTTAAAACTTATGGTGGCTAGCAGTGAAATCCAGGACGCTCACTTCATCCTATTTGAGACTCGTCAACTGGATGTACCTGTCTCCAGAGTTGATGTTCAATCCGGGAGTCGAACCCAATTCCATCACGTTATCAACTTAGCTACTGAGTTCAGATAGTCACTAGCTTGTTCAATGGGGTGAAACTCTAATTTACTTTTGTATTGTTTACTTGAATCTTCTTATTGGTTTTAGGACTGCGACTGATCAATCTCTTATTGGCATATGTGCATACTTTGCGTATTGCCTCGATATTACCTTAATTTACTAGCATTATAAACAAAGATGGATAGTTGAAATACTCACAGTATGCACATATGTCAAAAATCTATTAGGAGAGAGTGCACTTCATTGAGACCGATCGCTTTTAACACCTTTCTTCTGTAGAAGAGGTATTATTTCTGATGTTGAATGTATGTGAGAAACAACTATATGTTAGTTTAAATTCATTCCCGAACCTAAAATTGACAATTGTTAGTCTCCAACCAGTCTGCCTGAAATGTTAGATCATTAGGAATACCGTAATGCTATCAATAGAGTGCTGTAGTTTCAATAATTAATTTTTATCAGATTTCATGTTTAGTGTCATTCTATACATTGTTATTGTTTTATCTTATCTGTTTCTTTTAATCTACATCTTTAATTTGAATTTTTACATCACCGACTGATTGTAGCTTGGCAACTACAGATAACCAAGAACCTCTAGACACGAGTCTCATCCAAGTTTCGGACTCAATAGCAGTACATCCACGACCATACAAGGGATGGAACACAGGATTTTCATGTTACAGCGAGATCTTAACCTTTGAACTATTGAGCTAAGATTCAATAGCTTAAAGTTCTAACTTCAGTTTGTTCTCTATGTCAAGCGACAGTCACTCATTTTCACTAACGATCCTTATCTCATACCGGATATGGTTGAACTTCATTATAATAATAATGAAAGAACTTGAGAAAACTCATCTGGCCATTTAGAGTTTTGACTAGATGTTTGGGAATGGAAGAAAATGTTGAGTGATTTATCAACTATGTGACTAAAACAGTAATGAAGCCAGTGTATCCAGTAATTTTAAGTGGCTAAGGTAAAAGACAACAGTTTCCTTGCATAAATAATACATGTTATGTCACTTGTTTTATAGTTCAAGACAACCAGTTAGCTAAATGAACCGCATTTCATTTACTGTTAAACTGAAAATTGGAGTAATTGTTTTTATCAGTGAATATGACACTCAGTGTTCAAGACTATAACCTACGAAAGAATCTGTCAGATGTGAGCTAGTAAATATTGAATTCTGGTGAGAAATCCATTCATCCATATGACTAAATAGCACTATCAGTTCGTGGTAAAAACACTAGCTCTCCGAATCCTAATCCTTATTCCTCACATTAATTTACAACCCTTTTATAACCTAAGTCAATAGATGAATATTCTCAAAGTCAACTCAGCGTTGCTCAAAAGTTGTCTATAAATTATAGTCTCTCCGTATTTATACTTTAACTCAATGTTAAATAGATTGGAACATTTGATAAACCAAAGTAATTTATCAGAGTAATAATCAAATCTTTTTTTTTCAAACAGACTGTTAATTTAATAGTTAATTTCATGAGTCCATTAAAGTTAGGCTACCATGGAAAATCTGAAAGCAATGAACGGATGTTTCATCCTAGTATGAGACTCCTCAGCAGTTGAACTCTGTTGATTGTTTAAAATAATGCCTACTTCTTTTCTAAAATTTTGTAAAATTTTCATTCCCATTTTAAAATTATCTCTTTAATTCAATATTCTGTTTTATTATATTAATTCTAATCGACTTTAATATCCTCTTACAAGTTGTATTTAAGTTTTCTTTATCAAAATTCATGTAAACAATCAATATCTACAAGGAAACTATAGTAACCTATTCAAAACAGATTTACTAATAATAATAATAATAATAATAATAATAATAATAATAATGACAAACAACTTAGTTTTCTTCTTGTTACTTACTTGTGTAAGATGATTTGCTATTGCGCTTAGTTGTTGTGGACTTACAAAATTTTCCATATTTATTGATGGTTGTGTAGACCAAAATGGTATTGTATTATTATGATTAAGCATTGGATATGAACCAGAAATATTACCTGAATTTGGTGTACGTATATCCCAATTTAAACCTGGCATTTGACCCCACAGATTAATTTGTGTACCTGAATGATTTGTAGCTGCAAAACCTTGATCTGCATTTCCTTGAAGAGAAAAAATAAAATAAAATTCTTCATAGTAGAAAATCACTTGTAATCATAATGAATTGCAAAATCTATCCATAGAATTTAATAAAACCTTGTATTTTGACACTGCATCATTATTCAATCAAATTCTTACGTTACATCCTTAATAAACTAATGCTCATTATTATAGATAACCTGAAACACGATAAGGGACTGTGAAAAATTGTATTGTACTTATTATCAGATTTAATTGTGCTGTAAAGAAGTCCCATACAAAGACGAAATCGTAATCTGTTATCTCTATTTTCAGTCATTGTCTAACTGAAGTTAGTTTCTAGTCGAAAACTTTAAACTAAACCATTTTCATAACAATTTGTAATAATGACCTGTAATTTATCACAGTAAAGAATAATTACAATGCCATTAAGTTTTGATATTTCATCAATATATGTTTACATTAAAGTTTATTATCTATCGTTTTATTGTCAAAGTTCTGAAATTTGGAAGGATAATTGGCTAATATGCAAAAAAGATTTATATGTATTATATAGAGGTTAAACAAAATTCTGATTTTAATAGTTAAATTCATGAGTCGATTAAAGCTAGGCTACCATTGAAAACCTGGAAACACTAGACGGCCGTTTTGTCCTAATGTTGGACTTCTCAGCAGTGTGCATCCATGATCCCGCCCGTGGAACTCGAGCCCAGGACATTCGGTCTCATCCTCAAACGTATAACCTCTAGATCACTGAACAGACATCCGACGGTGTTAATGTCTAACTTCAACCAATCCAAAAAATTGCCCCACCGTCCACTATTATCTTCAGTGAATCACTTCCTCACAACTGACACGGTGGAACTCCACTGGTCATTGTTTCTCATTAGAATTCCAGGAAATATATCTTGAAGCCAGTCACTAGTGAGAACATGATGATTATTATCAGAAAGAGGATTTCTGGAGATTGTATTAATTTTAATAGTTGAATTCATGAGTCAATTAAAGTTAGATTGCCATGGAGCGGGATCGTGGGTGCGCACTACTGAGGAGTCTCAAACTAGAACAAAACATCCATTCCGTGCTTCCAGATTTTCCACGATGGTCTAGCTTTAATCGACTCATGAATTCAATTTCTATAAAACCCCTTTCTGATAAAATTCTGATTGTTTATCATATTGATTCCTGTTAACACCACTATGAACTAAAATTGTGCACAACCTAATCGAAAATGTTGTCAGGATATATGAACACTAAACTTTATGATCTGAATTTATATGTACACTGAAAAATCCAGATACCATATGTTGATCATTTAAAAAGCATATGTATTATGGATAAGTAAAAAATATAAGATAATGATATCAACTAGTAACTTACTACGCATAAAGTTTTCAATTACGTCATCTGTGTAGTCATCATTTTGCTAGTAAAATACAACAACAAAAAATAAATTAGTTATAGGATAGAAGTTTTGCAAAGATTTTTGAATTTCATAGGTAACATCACTGACTGACATTAGACAATTAGTAAAAACCAGGAAACAATGAAAAGCTATTTTGTCCTAGTATGCACATCCAATAATCCATTAAGGATAGAACCCAGGACCTCTAAACCTCGTGGTAAAGGCTTAACCATCAGATCACTCATCCACCTCCAAATGCTTTACATGTTTAGCCCCAGTCAGAACATAGCAGTTCAATGGTCTAAATGTTAAGCACTTGTCACGAGGTCTGAACATCATGAGTACAATCCCTGGCGGGTTCGTGGATGTACACCGATTAAAAGTCCCATACTAAAACAAAATAGCCGTTCATTGTTTCCTAGTTTTGACTGATTGTTTAAGTAAGGTCAGTCAGTGATGTGCATTGTGAATTAGTCATAATTGAAAAATACAACTTACTTTTCGTATTATAGCTGGACTATAAACATTACCATTTACATCATCGTTATCATCATCATAATTATCAAGCATTTCTAAAGCATCACTTGATGAATTTTCTTCATCACTTTCCATGCCAATAGGTTTATCCCCATTGTGAAGCCGTTTATCTTTATTACCAATATCTATAACTCTAAATTTTCGTGTGACAGTATGACTTTCCACGTTTGTTACACTAAGATGAAACATAAGAAAAATAAATGGAAAGAAATAGAGACAAACTATAGAATGATGTGAGCTTTGATAAACTTGTCTGAATGGATTTCATTACAAATGAATGATGTGAAGAAACTACACGAAAACAATTAGGTTGTTTCTTTATACAGATTTCATCTATACGGTAGATGTTCTGGATTTCAGTAAGAAATCTTAGATATGTTTTTATAGATAAAGATAATTATACTACATTTCAATTCTGAAATCAGCATATTTGATTTGTTGACTATGCACCAGTTTATTAGTTTACCAAATGAAATGTTACAACTCACAGAAGTCAGAGATAACTAGGCTACTTTGGGACGTTAATTCTTATTATCAATTAAAAATTTATTATTCAATTTGCAACTCAGTAAAAAGAAATACTGACTGAACATTATGCAGATAACCAACAACTTTAATTCCAACAATAATAATTAAATACCCTACTGATTCTGTACTTTAAAATTTATTTGATTAAGATTTAATTGTATCCCTTAAATAAAATCACTAATTAGACCACCTGACTCAATCTTGTAATTTTATCAATCTGATGTATTCTAAAATGTTTAGCAAACTCGATTTTTTATGGAGTTTTGTTCTCTGAGCTGGATGCTTTCATCGTGGAGCTTTTATCGTTCTTCTGAACGACATCAACAGCACAAACTTCAGATTGAAGTGAAGTGTTCGAATTTCACCATATTCGTTTCACAGCATGTTCTGTACACCTCTATGTTGATTGCTTCTTATTGACCTTAAATTTGTCATTGTTTACACAAAAAACATATCAGAAATAGCAACGAAACTGCTGAAAACCTTCGGGATAGGTGTGGCACACAAACCGACAAAATCAATACAATCAATCCTATGCAAACCAAAGGATGAAATAACAAAAGAAGATAAATCAAACATCGTCTACAAAATAAATTGTGCCAACTGCGAAAAACACTACATAGGACATAGCGGACGCCCCTTTCACGTTTGTCTACATGAACATCAATTAGCGGTCAAAAAAACCAAAACAATGACAAATTTAAGGTCAATAATAATCCATCAGCATCGAGGTGTACAGAACATACTGTGAAACGCATACGGAGAAATTCGAACACTTCACTTTTATCTAAAGTTTGTGCTGATGATGAAAGCTCCACGACCAAAGCATCCAGCTCGGAGAACAAAACTCCATAAAAATCATCCACCTGAGCTACAAATCTTCTCCAGCAAACTCGTTGTTTACGAGTGATTATAAATATACATTTAAAGGTAATTAATTCCTTTGCAAAAATAATTAAACATTTATCTGTGTCAGATGGAATGCCCTGTAATAATTACGATTTTAACTTATATAATTTTGAAAGTAGAGACCATTGTTATCATGAACAGTATACGAGTGATTTGGAGCGTTAGATTTATAAATACACAAGACAAAGGTTATACCTAATAGTCAAGTTCTAATTTCATTGGCTGATGAATGAACGATAAGGACACCTATATAATGATTTTGTGAATGTTTCAAGCAACATTATTAGTGTTTATTATTGTTTGGTTTTATAATTGGCAGGTGTTTCGGCTTTTTAAGAAAATCAAGCCTCAGGCTTTGCATTATTACCGTCATCTGAACACTCCTATATGTATCACAGATCACATTATTTTGTACTGGAAAATGTATGCTAGTGGTCATAATCACATAGTATATGCTTCCAGTTTACAAAATAGGCTAATTTCAGCTAAACGACTACTGAAAATCAGAAATCATTGGACAAGTAAGTGAAAAATATAATTGCCATCGGTAATATGTCTTATGCCCGATGGTGGTTGAACTCCATTGATTACGGCCTCCCACTAGACCTTTAGAAATGTTTCTCAAAGTTAGTCACTAGTGAACACAGCTCTTACGCTCCTAAACATTTGTGTTTTGGTGATATGATCATCATATATTGAGTATAATAAATAATCACATTTTGATAGATTCAGTACATAATGAAGGAACAGTTTTGATCTCTTCTTTGTTTTGCAAAACAGGTCAATTTTTTAGATTAAGCCAAATGATTACCTGTGAACAGCCATTGCTTTAACAACTCTTTTACCAGGACGAAGGGCGAATGGAGCTTTATATACAAAAGTCACTTCACGACCATCAACTTTTCTCTTCCATGGATTAGGATTTTTTCCATTTGTTGTGAAATATAATCGTGCGTTCGGTGTATCTATAATAACGGTTTTTATGTGAAGAGTCAAGAAAAAACGAGAATGCTCATGAGTTCATAAAAATTATCAAATGTTTACTTGAAATATAATGCGAATTTCTCAGCGGTATCTTGCAAACCAAACTTTAAAATTCATCGAATAAACAAAATTACGGTTGTAATAGAGCTGAAGTGGGAGGACTTATAATTTTTTATATCACAGACCTAAGGACAATAAACTTAGTTTATAAACAGTTAATTTATTAGTGAAGTTACTTTTCAAGTAACCTTAGTTTTAAACAACTATATACTAGTTATCTAAACAAAACAGGATATCAACAAGTGTTAATTATGTAGCTTAATATAATGGGTTCGAATGCTCACTATAAGAAATGGCACCAGTCGATGAGAGCAATAAATAAAACACTGACTGATATCGACCGATGAGAACTTTTTGATTGGTGTCAGCATGCAATTGTGGCTGGCGACTGTAAAATTAAGGTAATATGACTTCAAGTTAGTTCCCCTGTATTCATCATCTTCCCCTAAAAACTGAGCTTGATGTCATTTTATACTCTTTATTGTATGATTCCATTAATTCATGTTGAAATAGGTTCATCATCATTAAACTCAACTCTACAGTTGATACTTTACTTTCAGCACTTCTCGCTTTCCTAATTCCTCTTCAGTGGGCCAATACGAGCTAAGGGAACTTTTATCAGTAAATGTTTGTACTAAGTTCTATGAATAACGAACTGAAATGTGTTTAAATTATCGAACATTGTTCTGTCACTAACCTTTATTGATCATAAAAGTTTTGTCGTTTAATTTTGTAAATTGTAATATGCATTTAATCAAAGCGTTTCACAACTAAACTAGAGTTTGCAAAATACCTCAAGTTCTAATCAAATTAATATAAATGTAACTATCAAGCACTGTTTATTTATTCTGAACTGATCATGAAGTCCGGTTGATTCAGGGCTGTAGTTCACCCTGATATTACTGACTTTTAAACACGTAAAAACATGTCGTTATCCACAATTTAACTAATAATTTTATTACCTGATACAATTTCAATAAATGTTTGAGTATCAATGCAACCTTGTAATGTTTCTTTATCTTCTGACTTTAATGGTATAATTTTTGGTGCAGCAATACCCCCAGTTATTGGCATTTTCTGTAGGGATTAAGCAGTTTATAAGTATTAGTCATAACTAATAAAATTGAACTTAGTAAAAGAAAATTGACGGGAACAAAAAGCAGGTAAATAAAAATAATAATATAAATGGCAGTAAAAACTCGACATGAAAATATTGCTCATGAGAAATGTGTGGAAAAGTACAATCAGGTAAATATAATAATAAGGCCGATAATTTAAAGAATAACAACGAATCTAATCTTCATTGTCACCAATCTTTAATCATACCACATGATGTCCCCGTCCACCAAGTACTAAAATGTTCAACACCTCAACACATGAAGTCCTCAACACAGTTCGGATAAACGGACAGTGCTTCCTTGGAGTAATCAGATATCTTGTTTAATGTAAAAAATTAGTTTTAATGACAGTACGGTGTGCTTTTATTTCTAGATGTTATGTTCATGATAAAGTTATTACAAATAAATAATATATTTTTGATATCCCAATGAGTAGAAAAATTAGACTTTTTACTCATCGAGATATTATAAATATATTGTTTATTTATAACAATCTTCCCAATGCTCAATTTATTCGAACTTATCAAGTCAAATCTTGGTAATGATACCTATAAAGTTACTACAGTCTTAATTTTATCCCTCTTCACTAGCTACTGGTCATATCCAAAGTAATAGTAACAAGAAGCTCCGGATTTGCTCTTTACTCAGATATTTCAAACGATGCATCTACATCAAAAAAATTTTATATCAAGACACACATAAAAATAACATTCAAAACGTTCATCATTGGTTGTTTATCCCTTAGACCAATTTGCTTCTTCCCTAAGTGGTTACTTTGATGACAATAAACAAAAGCAACTATACTTGACGTTTCAGAAAATCACAGGATTGTGATAGTTTGGACAGGTTATATGCTGAGTTTATGCTTGAAAAATCACTTTGATCTGGTGTTTTGAATAGTCCTTTATTTTTTTAATAGTAAACAAATATGTTAAAGTAGAGCTATAGAGGACTGAAACTAGACGACGTTTGACCGACCACAACACTCCATTGAGTAGTATAATTTGTATTTGACAATACGAATTGAGGACGTTTCTCGTCAATTTCCGTGCTTTCCGAGTATGAAAGTCTCACGTACCTTTTTTAGGAAATAATATTTTCACCCATACTATCAGTTGGCTTTATTCTTAGGTTATCATCGCAATATTTGTAAATAAGGTCATTTTTATAAAGCGGTGCGTTGTTACTGAGGCCAGGTATATTGTACATTACTTTTGATTTATGGGAAATCGTTGATTTTGTTAGATGCGTTTGCTGCTATGATTATTTTAGTCTTTGATCATAAATTTAGGTGCCGGCCGTAATAACTATAAGAAGTACCCTGTGATGAAGACATCAGCAATAAGACATAGCATTAGGAATCCTGAATATTTCTCTTTTGACAGGTTGTGAAACATACGTAGTATGTATTATCAATCAAAAGTGAAATACCCGGCGGCAGAAAGTTAAGAAGATCGAAGAAAAGAGAACGAGAACAATGAATGATTGATGTGAAATCAAAAGAACAATGAAGCCTGAGACGATTGGCTGATATTTTGCAAATGAGGTATATTGTGTATGGCTTTCAGGCTCTGCTAAAACGTTCTGTAATTTCGTATTCAAATACATACATTTGTTCACGACAAGATGAGTAACAAAATAACACCAGGTTGGTTGTTGAGAACCCAAGTCTCAAGTTTTGTCACAAAATATAATGTCCATTAGACCTCGTTCTGTATTATTTACTCCCTCATTGGCTTAAGCGATTGATATATATAAAGTGTTTAGTTAATATCAAATAAAATAGGAAATCTAGTTGAATTTAACGTGAAAACGTCACATGTGTTTCATAACCCCGATCTAAAAGCATTTGATATCTATCAACAAAATCGTTCACTAAAAAACTAGATCTTACAGAGTTTTTGGTCTGATAAAAAGGCGTTTATTATTATCGACTACTTTCATTTATTTAACTGAACACTAGTACCTGAATATTTCTATGCACAAGAAGCTGTAACTCTTAGTCTCTTGTGGGTTTATATCTTCCCTAAATGCGTCTCGTATGATGTGAGAGTGCACGACAGTGAGTGAAAGAATCTAGGAAATAAAATAACACAAAAAAGTGACCAAATACTTAATTAACGCATAGATTTCGCTTGCAAAAGAAAACGGTAAAAAACTATGATACCTTGAGATTATGATAGTCTGATAATCGAAAATAGAAGTTGATATCGTAAAGTTACATAGCCAAGCATCAAACAGTTGGCAACTTACAAGGTCACTAAATCACTATACGAGCAATTGTTAAGAAAAAATAAAACAAAAGATATGAGATACATGAGCACAGTATTTTTTTAGCCATCATTTGTGGAATCTCTTGTTTCAAACTCTTGATTATTTTTTATACACTGATTGTTTGAACAATTGAGATCATTCTTTTCGTTTAAATACAAAACATAAAAGATTTCCATCTGATAAACTAAATTTGCAGCCTAGGTACTTTAGAAGACGCATTTAAAATTACAAGTATATAAGAGAGTTGAAAAGTGATAAGGACAGCAATCCCCGTTTCATGAGAGAAACGCCAACGTGTGTTGAAATATCTAGGGGTTTTTTAAGTTAAAGTGAGCAGTAAGAACTCAAACAACGCGTCCAAACATATTATAGTTAGAAGCTTAATTCCAGAGAATGTGTAGCCATTAAAGCTAAACGACCAATAAATCACCCTGAAAAGTAGAAATTCATCTACTAATAAAGACTGATCACTAAACGTTGAACTAACCATCTTTCAGACCCACCCACGGGGAAATCTCAGATGTTTCACATGAAGTTTGTTGTCAAGATCTCAGAAATTCAAGTTACCCCAAAGTTGCTTTAATTCGATTACGTTTTTCTTATCTCATTCTGACTGCGGAGATTGTTAGCTTTGAGGAGGGCATACGTTTCATGATTACACCAATCCTACGAGCATAATTTGCAAGTTTTCCACCACTTGCGTCAAGATTTGGCACTTTACATTACACTTTATTTAACAACATGCAACTCGGATTAAAGTCATGTTATCTATTAAATTCAGATGGCCTTGACGGTTTTTTAGGGAATTCTAGTGTTGTAGTCGAACTTCTAGGGACCATCCTCCTAAATTTCCACTGAGATCATCGAAATTTCTACAATACTTGTATACACAGCAATGGACTGCAGCGTCTTGGTGAATGATGGTTTTCGTCACCGTTATACCAATGACGAAACATAGAACTAACCAAATTTACCAACTTATATGCCCACAATGGCCACACACTGAACGTCTGTATGCAGAATCGCTCACAAATACGAAACATATATAAGTGTTCGGAACTTCATATAACTACCAACCGAACACCCGATTGTAGTGCAGTGGTATTGGTCCTTAACCGCACGATCTTTGAAGCTGAACGTACAATTACCGAGGAAATTTGCTGTCAATATGTAACATTACGAGAATGTAGTAATTAGTCAACGCTGAATCAATGAATCGGTATAGAATGGCTCATCCTTGCAGGTGTGGTCGTTCCGTATTAAATATATTGTTTTATTCTCAGTTCAAACGTGTTTTTTAAAAATGCTAAACATTGTGTTGCTGACTGTCGTGTTACGGCGAATCAATGTAGACAATAATGTGACTTCCACGTAAGATCATATAAATTAGGTAGTCTTGCTTACTTACTAACTTACTTACGCCTGTTACTCCCAATGGAGCATAGACCGCCGACCAGCATTCTCCAACCCACTCTGTCCTAGGCCTTCTTTTCTAGTTCCATCCAATTCTTGTTCATTTTTCTCATATCTATCTCCATTTCTCTGCCCAATGTGTTCTTTGGTCTTCCTCTCCTCCTTCGACCTTGAGGATTGCATGTGAGGGCTTGCCTTGTGACGCAGTTGGGTGCTTTCCTCAATGTGTGTCCTATCCACTTCCAGCGCTTCTTCCTGATTTCTTCCTCCACTGGGATCTGATTTGTTCTTTCCCACAGTAGGTTGTTGCTGGTCGTGTCCGGCCAACAGATCCGAAGTATTTTGCGTAGACAACTGTTAATAAACACCTGTATCTTTTGCATGATGGATTTCGTAGTTTTCCAGGTTTTCGCCCCATAAAGTAGAACTGTCTTCACATTTGTATTGAAAATTTTGACTTTGGTGTTGGTTGCCAATTGTTTTGAGTTCCAGATGTTCTTCAGTTGTAAATATGCTGCTCTTGCTTTGCCAATCCGTGCCTTCACATCTGCATCAGATCCACTGTGTTCATCGATGATGCTGCCCAAATATGTAAAGGCTTTTACATCTTCCAAATCTTCTTCGTCAATTGTGATTGGATTGTTGCATGCTGTGTTGTGTTGGAGAATCTTGCTTTTCCCTTTGTGTATATTGAGACCTATTGCTGCAGAGGGTGCTGCTACACTGGTCATCTTCTCCTGCATTTGTTGTTGTGTGTGCGATAGAAGAGCCAGATCATCTGCAAAGTCTAGATCGTCCAGCTGCATCCTAGCTATCCACTGTATCCCGTGCTTCCCTTCAGATGTTGATGTCTTCATGATCCAGTCGATCACCAGGAGAAAGAGAAAGGGTGACAGTAAACAACCTTGCCTGACACCGGTCTTTACTTCGAACGACTTTGTCAACTGTCCTCCATGCAGGATTTCGCAGTTTAATCCATCGTAGGAATTCCCTATGATATTGACTATCTTCTGAGGCACGCCGTAGTGTCGAAGAAGCTTCCATAGTGTTGTTCTGTCCACGCTGTCAAATGCTTTTTCGTAGTCAATGAATATGATGAAGAGTGATGAACTCCATTCAATTGATTTTTCCATAATGATCCGTAGAGTTGCGATTCGGTCTGTACACGATCTATCTTTACGGAATCCTGCCTGTTGGTCTCGAAGTTGTGCGTCTACGGAGTCCTTCATCCTGTTTGACAATACCCTGTCGAAGACTTTTCCTGGTATTGAAAGAAGAGTGATTCCCCTGTAGTTATCACAGTTGCTGAGATCGCCTTTCTTTTGTATTTTAAGCAGAGGTCCTTCCTCCCAGTCTTTTGGTACCTGATCCTCATCCCAAATCTTTCTGAAGAAAATGTGGAGTATCCTTGCAGTTACCGCTACGTCTGCTTTCAGTGCCTCTGCTGGAATGTTGTCTAGTCCTGCCGCTTTACCACTCTTGATTTGTCTGATAGCCATGCTGATTTCTTCAATTGTTGGTGACCAACATCAATTGAGAGGTCCGTGAGTGCTGCTTCGATGTTGGGTGCGTTCAGTGGGGCTGGTCGATTCAAGAGTTCTTTGAAGTGTTCTACCCACCTGTTTCGTTGTTCTTCAATGTTGGTGACTACTTTGCCTTCCTTGTTTTTCACTGATCGTTCTGGTTTACGGTGATTTCCAGAGAGTTTCTTTGTTGTGTCATACAGTTGTCTCATGTTTCCTTCTCTGACAGCCTTTTCCGCCGTCACTGCTAAATCTTCCACATATTTACGTTTGTCAGTTCCGATGCTCCTCTTCACTTGCTTGTTGACTTCTGTGTATTCAGCTTGTGCCTTGGCTTTTTCTGCTCTTGTTCGACTGGTATTGATTGCTGCCTTCTTGTTCCTCCTTTCTTGAATCTTATCCAGTGTATCGACCGTGATCCAATCCTTGTGATGGTGCTTCTTTTGGCCCAGAACCTCATGACATGTTGAAGTGATTGCCTCTTTTATCTCTTTCCAGTTGCTCTCCATAGTAGTTCCTTCTCCATTGAGTAGATCATGAAAGACCTGGAACTTATTGCTGAGCGCTATCTTGAATTTGTTGAGTTTGTCAGTATCCCGAAGAAGAGCGGTATTAACTTTTTGTGATATTGTCCTCCCAGTTGCCCAGTGCCTCTTGATTTTCAATTTCATCTTGATGACCAGCAAGTGATGATCTGATGCTATATCAGCTCCTCTCTTGGTTCTCACGTCCTCCATCGTCCTCCTGAACTTTTTGTTGATGCAGATATGGTCGATTTGGTTCTGCGTAGTGTGATCCGATGAAGTCCATGTGGTTTGTGCATGCGTTTATGTGGGAATTTAGTGCCGCCTATGACCAGTTTATTGAAGGCACATAGATTTGCAAATCTCTCACCATTTTCGTTTTTATCTCTCAGTCCGTGTAGTCCCATGATCTCTTCATATCCGGTGTTGTCAATTCCAACCTTGGCATTTAAATCTCCCATCAGAGTGGTCAGGTCCTTTGTTGGATACTTTCCGACGATCGACTGCAGCCTATCGTAGAATTGATCTTTAGCATCTTCATTGTAGTCGTTGGTAGGCGCGTAACATTGGATGACATTCATTGTAATGCCCTCTTTCTTTTTTGTGAAGGAGACTTTGGTGATCCTTGGTCCATGAGATTCCCATCCCAAAAGTGCATTTTGTGCTTGTTTGGACAGCATCAATGCAACTCCTTGTGCATGTGGGGCATTTTCTTCATGTCCGGAGTATAACAGAAGCTCCTCTGAAGCTACTCGTTGTTGTCCAACTTGCGTCCAATGTGTTTCACTGATCCCAAGCACCTCTAGGTTGTATCTCCTCATTTCTGCAGCAATTTGGAAAACTCTCCCAGTCTCCCACATTGTACGAGCATTCCATGTACCTAAATAAATGGTTGCTGTGGTTGTCAGAAGGGGCATCGGCCTCGTGACTTCCGGAGAAACTCGGCTTTCATCATTAGGCGTCATAATTCTTCTAAACGAAGACTTTCTGACTCCCAGGGCAGAGTTTAAATGGTTTGAATAATGTTTTCTGGTTAGCGTTTTTTTAGCGAGTTAGTTTTCTACGGGATGGGGTCGCTAACCCCATGCCCAACCCTCCTCCTTTACCCGGGCTTGGGACCGGCAGTAGCCCCCGGAAAGGGACTCCAGGCGGAGTTAAATTAGGTAGTCACATCATTGAAAATCTACAATTTGGGGATGACTTCAATGATCATAGTAGCGAAAACAACTTTGCGAACATCGAATTGAACCATAATTCAATAGCGGGATTAAGACTGAAAGCTCCGTTGAAATTTCCCCTACCGTTGATTCGATTTAAATACTATCTGAATTTTGACATCAAAGATCGAGTCCAGGACTTCCACAAATCAGCAGGAAAATCTACAGAATGTCAGTAACAAAGTGCCTGAGAAAAACTATTTAAAGTTAAAATCAAGCGAGTGAAAAATTTGGCGTACCACATTTAAAGTTCAGAAAACAATACCTCTAATTTATTTTGCTTTTGCTTACAAACACATTTTTCACTTTCGGGGTA